GAAAAATTGTATAAAAAAAGAGAATATATGTTTATGTAAGAAAAGAAAAAATAAAAGATTTTAAATGTAAAAATCCAGCGTAAATAGTAAATTACTTTCGGTTAATATAAAAATTTTTAATTGATATCTATTTGATTGTTATTTATATAAACTTATTTTTTATTTTATATAAACTACTGAAAATAATTCATATTGCACTTTATTTTTATTCATAATTTGGATATCTTTAATATAATTTAATATAATAAAAGAGTCAATTGTGAACATAGAAAAATAAATCTATAAAATTTGTTATATACCTCTAATTCATGACCAGTAAAATGTGCTCTCAGCTGATATAAATAAGTCATTACAGCTAATTTATCAGGTACAGTTAATATATCCATATCTGCTGGTTCTATTACTCTAGGTATACCAAGAGCTTCTCCAGCATCAAATGCTTTTTTACAATTACCCTTTACATCATGTGGTAATAATGAATCTATGTCTCTGAAAATTGTCATTTAAATAATAGTTAAAAAGTGTTATAACTATTAAATAATAGTTAAAGTGAAACATAATTTCGAGCTATTTATTTATAAAAAAAATTACTCTATTTAAACTATATTAAGTTATATAAATATAATTCTTGAAACATTTCAATGTGTATTTCTTATACATACATAAGATCTGGCCTAAAATGATGTATTATTGCACAAAATGCCATTCCATTCCTCCAAGACGTTGTAAGATTTGTAACTTTTACACCAGAATAATCTTTAGTTACTTCTTTGCACCATTCCAATAAATCCTGACCTGGAGTAATTTCTTTTAATCTAGGAATATTGTCATCATTCTTTTTTAATTCTAGTGGTTGTAATGGTAATCTCAATAGTGTATTATGTTCAATATTTTTACTAAAATAATAGTAAAACATTTATTAAAAATACATTATGGAACAATTGATTCTAATTTACATACTTGTTCTCAACAGCAATAGAATCCTTTAATGGTGATTTTTCTTTAAAAGAATCATTAATGCCTGTAAAACTAACATCACATACGATGTGATCACTATCATTTACAGGAGTAGTATCATCTTTTGATAAACTTGCCACTGTAGAATATATATTATGTATATAATATTATTTATATTATGGTTAATAATAATTATGTATATTATATATAAAATATACGTTAATAGTACACTATATATTTATGTATTTAATATTTAATCCGTACCACTTATTGGAGTACTAGGTAGTTCACTTTCTGTAAGACTGCTTGTCATTAAATCAAGTTGAGCAGAAATATCCAAAATTTCATCAAGATTTTTCCCAGATACTTCTTCAACATCTTCTGGTATATCTTCATTATCAAAGTCATCTAATGGTGCAATATCACTATTATTGTTAACTGACATCAAACTAGCCATACTCTGCATATCTTCATCCCTGAGTAAAAAATATAATGTATAATAAATTTAATTAATTATAAATCAATGCTTGAAAAATTTTCTTACGTTGCTTTGCCTTCTCTTAAGAAGACACAAGATAAAGTACATTCCAATGTAGCGCTAACAATCTTTTTTGATGTAGGTTTTAAATCTAATTTAAGCTGTTGTTGAGTAGATTCTAATGTTGCATATTTTTTCATATTTATATTTGCAGCAGCTACATGTCGTCTTTTACCAGTGGGAGAAACCTAGCAAATGCATTACATGTTAACTTATTAATTTATAGTTAACAAAATATTACAATATAAATATTATTTATTATTTTTTACATCCTCGATGACAAATGTCCAATCTTTATCTTCCAATTCATGGGTCCTTGGATCTTTAAACAATGTTACAGAAACTGTATGATTATCAGGAACTGCCCAACTAATAACACCTTTCAATGGATCACTTAAGTTAGGTTCCCAATCTAGTGGTTCTGAACTAACTCTTCTACTACGTCTTGTCCATACAACACTTAGTTTGTTTGGCTTCCTATATGATGTTAAAATAGTGTATCTAATATACATGTTATATATAATGTATATAACGTCAAATAATTTTTAATAATGTGTATATATACTTCATATTTTATATATACAATAGCTAAAATGTATTATATAAATATGGTATAAAACTATAATAATAATAATTAATAATAAATATCATAAATTATTCTTTCATTCTTGTTTATTATGAATTTTGACATTAAGTGCTATTTAACTATTTATTTAATAAGTAATTATTTATAATAAATATGTAATGTCTCAAACTGATTATAAAATCAAATACAATAAAATACTTTACAATAAAATACTTTATATTATTTTGTTAATAAGCATATATATATATATACATATGTTTGTTTAAAATTAATAACAAAATTATTTTTTTGCACAAATTATATTTTAATGTACTAAAATAATTCCTCTTCATACAGATTTGGGAAT